AAAAAAAAAAAAAAAAAAAAAAAAAAAAAATCAAGTGACAGCCGGTTCAAGATTTAACCCGGCTGGCGGCTTGGTTTTCCCGCCTTTTTTTCCCAAGCTGATGAACTCAGTGGCCCCATCAGCGCAGGGCAAGCGAGCGGTGTCCTTAGCGAGCGCAGTTTTAAATAACTTCATGAACTCTGGCCGCCTGGCCTATTCGTCCCACCTTGACTGCGGCCTAAAAACCCGGCCGCAGATGCCTGGTTCTTATCGGCGCTGGCCTCTTGGTATCAGCGCCTCGCGTCGGGCCCGGCGTACTACACGCCGCCGGCGCCCTTGGACTTTCAGAGGTTGGAAGGCGGTGCGTCAAGCTTGGATCGCTCATATCGGCGCCAACCGCGCCTCGCTCCGGGTCGTTGTTGATTCCTCGCCTCACGACCCTTGGACTTTATAAAGGAGGGAGGCGGTGTGTCACGCTTGGGTCGTTTATATCGGCGCCAACCGCGCCTCGCGTCGGGTCGTTGTTGATTCCTCGCCTCACGACCCTTGGACTTTTTAAGGGAGGGAGGCGGTGCGTCACGCTTGATTCCTTCTGTATCGGCGCCAACCGCGCCTCGGCTTCGGGCCTTGTGGTCTCCTCGTCTCAGGCCCTTGGACTTTCTGAAGTTAGGCGGCGGTGCGACACGCTTGGATCTTACTATATCGGCGCCAACCGCGCCTCGGCTTCGGGTCGTTGTGGGTCCCTCGTCCCACGACCCTTGGACTTTATTAGGGGAGTGGGCGGTACGACACGCTTGGTTCCTCTTGTATCGGCGCCAACCGCGCCTCGGCTTCGGGCCTTGTGGTTTCCCCGCCCCAGGCCCTTGGACTTTCCGAAGGAAAGCGGCGGTGCGACAAGCTTGGGTCGCTCGTATCGGCGCCAACCGCGCCTCGCCCGGGCCGTTGTGGATTCCCCGCCCCACGGCCCTTTATTACCTGCGTGTCGTTGTTTGGTCCGGCACGCTGGTAGGGTAACTTGGTTCTACAGGCTGGGCTTGTCGTTCCTTGGTTCAAGGCCGCTTGGCTCTATAGGCTGGGCTTGTCGTTCCTTGGTTCAAGGTCCATGTTTTCTAGCCTGCTGCCGCCTTTGCAGCCTGCTGCTCTAGGTCCATGTTTTCTAACCGGCGTTCCTAGAGCCTGCTGTTCTAGGTCCAGGTTTTCTAACCCTTGCAGCCTGCTTTGAGTACTGTTGGCGTAGGCCCATATTTTCTAACCTGCTGTAACCAGCCCTAATCGTGAGAGTATTCGCTGGCACGACAAACTTGGTTCTTAATATATCGGCGCCAACCGCGCCTCGTCTTCGGGCCTTGTGGCCCCTCTTCCCAGGCCCTCGACGGGCTGGCCTCTTCCTCGCCGCCAGCCCTAAAGAAGGGGTTTTCGTTTTGTTCGGCGGTTCTGAGCTCTTTGACTGTGGCTAGAGGGAGTGGATGCAAAGCCAAGCTGACTACAGGAGGATGCCCAAGGCTGGCTGCCGGCTTTGTAGCCTGCTTTGAGTACTCCGGCCCTACTGGGCCCTAGGTCCATGTTTTCTAACCCTCGTAAGCTAATGTGGCCTTCAGGCCACATCCGGTGGTAACTGCTACCCCTCTGAGCTAATGTGGCCTGAAGGCCACATCCGGTGGTAACTGCCGGAGAAGACGAACTGTTCAGCGGAGGTCCATGATTGCATCCGGTGGGATTCGAGGAAGCCAAAGTAGCTTGGCTGAGTGAGCTACAGTAAAGGCCTAAGCGCTGAGAGTCCCCCAGGCCAACAGAGAGAAAAGAGGGGTTAGTGGGTGCAGACAGTAGAAGGGAGCTCAGCTAAGCCCTAGAAGCAGAGGCGTAGACAAAATGGCCCCCAATCAAAGGCCCAACCGGCCTAGGAGTTCAGAGCCGCCGAACAAAACGAAAAACCCCTCCTGTACTAGGTGTAACCAAAAGGCTGCCACAACCTCACAAGTGGCCCACCCTATGTACAGAAGAAGGCCTGCCAGCCCCAAGTAGCTGCTACCCCCAGAGGGAAAGCCCACGCCAGCCGTAAAAGTTGAGTGTCAAGGGATAACCAGTTAGAGACAAGCTGACCCCCTCGATCAACAAAGGTTCTGACGCCCACAACCTCGAAGGGAAAGTAGCCCAGCCAAAGCCACTCTCAAAGGCGTTAGAAATAGGCGGCTCAATTGAGCAGACTTAGCCAAAAGGCACCCAAAGAGAACGGTGGCCAGTAAACAGACCCTACTAGAGAGACTTCGAAGTGCGCTCGTAACAGCCAATCATGGGCGGGTAGAGAGGCAGCTTGAATAAGGGGGATCCTCCAACCGCACCATCAGAGGGAAGACTCGCCAGCCCCTCACCCAGTAGAAGAAAGCCCAAACACGCTAGAGAAGATTAGAGCCGTAGAAGGGGAATAGTAGCAGCGGGGTGTGCCAAAGGGTCAAGAGAACAGAAATAGTCAAGGGGAAACCCAAAAATCGCCTAGAGTCCGCCCCGCAAGACCACACTAAGGCTGCTACACAGGCGGAAGAACAAAAGTGAAAGAAGGGCCCAAGTACGCCAGCTAAACAGTAGGATGCGGTTGTGAAGAAGAAGGGGAGCTCCAAGCCCTCAGAGCTGCCGGAGAAGGCGAACAGGTAGAGAAGGGAGAAGCTAGCCAGAACAACCATAGAAGTGGCCCACTGTATCTGCAGAAGCCAAAGTGAGACAAAGAGAGAGGCAGCAACCTTCCGGTGGTTATAATCAGTAACCACAGACCCTGTCAAAGCCGCCCCCAGAGAAAGACACAATCAGTTGCGGACTTCTGGAGAGCAGGAGGTAACAACCCCAGCCAACAGCTTGGGAAGGGCCAGCCAAAATGCCAAAGGCCTCAGGGCTGCAGGAAGACAGAGTAGAAGAAGTAGGCCCATGCGTAACTGCCATATGCCCTCTCTGTAAGAGTCGAAGGAAAGCACCCAAGTGACAGCTAAAAGACCAAGAAGACTACGCCAAGCTGACTACAGACTAACAGCCGCCAAAGGTGTCAATCAGAGCAGGCTACAAAGCCGGCAACCAGGGCACCAGCTGGTTACAGCAGGTTCTAAGACCGCAGGCTAGAAAACATGGACCTACGCCAAGAGTACTCAAAGCAGGCTGCAAAGGGTGACAGTCAAGGCTGGAAGGGGATAAAGGCACTCAGAGAGTTAAGACAACTCAGGGCACCAGCTGGTTAGAAAACCTGGACCTAGGGTAGCCGCCAGCCGGTTAGAAAACCTGGACCTAAGGTAGCAGCCAGCCAGTTAGAAAACCTGGACCTAAGGTAGCAGCCAGCCGGTTAGAAAACCTGGGCCTAAGGTAGCAGCCAGCCGGCTTCAGGGCTGGAGGGGGACAAAGGCAATCCGAGCAGACTAGAAAACCTGGACCTAAGGTAGCAGCCAACAGGGCTGGAAGGGGACAAAGGCACACAGAGCAGGCTAGAAAACATGGACCTAGAACAGTGTAGAGGAGTGCCAAGTAACCCCGCCCCGGGCCCAAGACGAAGGGCGAGGATAATTATAGGGCCGTGCAATCACGGCCCGGGCGAGGCCCGGTCACTCTTGCTACTAGGGGCTCCATAGCCGGCAGGCCCTAAGAACGAAGGTTAGAAAACCTGGACCTAGAGCAGCAGTACTCAAAGCAGGCTACACAGCCGGCAACCAGGGCTAGAGGGGACAAAGGCAGTCAGAGCAGGCTAGAAAACCTGGACCTAAGGCAGCAGCCAGCCGGCAACCAGGGCTAGAGGGGACAAAGGCAGTAAGAACGCAGGCTGGAAAACCTGGACCTAGAACAGAGCAGGCTACAAAGCCGGCAGCCAGACACCCTCAGGGCTGGAGAGGGACAACGCAGGCTACAAAGGTGGCAGTCAGGGCGTAGTACTCAAAGCCGGTTAGAAAACCTGGATCTAGAACAGCAGGCTTTAAGAACGCAGATTAGAAAACATGGACCTAGAACAGCAGGCTACAAAGGCGGCAGGCTGTAAGAACGCAGGTTAGAAAACATGGACCTAAGCCAAGCCTGTAGAACCAAGGAACGACAAGCCAAGCCACTGCACCAGCGGGCCGGACCAGATAACGACCCGCAGGTAATATAGGGCCGTGAGGCGGGCAATCCACAACGGCCCGGGCGAGGCGCGGTTGGCGCCGATACGAGCGACCCAAGCTTGTCGCACCGCCGTCTTACTTCAGAAAGTCCAAGGGCCTGGGGCGGGGAAACCACAAGGCCCGAAGCCGAGGCGCGGTTGGCGCCGATACCATGAGAACCAAGCTTGTCGCACCGCCGGTTTTCTTCAAAAAGTCCAAGGGCCTGGGACGAGGAGACCACAAGGCCCGAAGCCGAGGCGCGGTTGGCGCCGATATATGAGGAACCAAGCGTGACGCACCGCCGCCTAACCTCAGAAAGTCCAAGGGCCTGAGGCGGGGAAACCACAAGGCCCGAAGCCGAGGCGCGGTTGGCGCCGATATAGTAGGAACCAAGTGTGACGCACCGCCTCCCTCCCTCTGAAAGTCCAAGGGTCGTGAGGCGAGGAATCAACAACGACCCGACGCGAGGCGCGGTTGGCGCCGATACAGTAGGAACCAAGCTTGTCGTACCGCCCACTCCCCTCCCAAAGTCCAAGGGTCGTGAGGCGAGGAATCAACAACGACCCGGAGCGAGGCGCGGTTGGCGCCGATACGGTCGACCCAAGCATGACGCACCGCCTTCTAACCACTGAAAGTCCAAGGGCGCCGGCGGCGTGTGGTACGCCGGGCCCGACGCGAGGCGCTGATACCAAGAGGCCAGCGCCGCCCCGCACCAGGCAGCTGCGGCCGGGTTTTTAGGCCGCAGTGTATTGGCACCAGCCGGGTCAGTATGAGCCGGCTTTGATCCAAGCGGTATTGACCAAAAAACTGCGCTCGCTAAGGATAGAGCTCGCTTGCCCTGCGCTGATGGGGCCA